GGAGGCAGGGCTTCCGTTGTCGGCCATGCTGTCTAATACGAGACGATGTATGTTTGAGGCTTTCTAAGTAGAAGAGAGGACGGGCACTTGCGTAACATCGACCAGCAAATCTCGTCTTTATAGTAGATCAGTATCTAGGCAGACAGTGAGCACGTGATAAAGGGTCTGCGGTTGCCTCATGCTGACCCAGCATCTCAGCGGATAACTAAAGTCAGACTTACACTTATACCAAAGCGCAATTTTCGTATGCCTTGAATTCAGCGTACCTAGGTAGTCGTCGTATCTGAGCCGAGAATTCGAGCGATTATTTGCTGGTTTAGTCAGGCATTAAGTACTGGTGTTGGGACATGAAATTAGGTATCGAGGGCACCTGGGTACCTAGCTACGCACCCGCATCCCACCACTTTGATATTATCCCGGCTGGCATTCACCCTTTATTCTCTCGATACCCAAATAGCAATGCGCGCGGCCGAAACTACGCCGCTTCCGCACGAAATGCTGAATGCTTATAAGCTCGACGACGTGAAGCCGGGGCGCCCCGAACTCGTCTGGAGGCGCATGACGTGGTGGTGAACCCAGATCCCGCGACGGCCACAAACACTTGACTTCACCCCGACTGCGCAAATGATTCAGAGGACACCTCACATCGGACGTCGCTAGTAGTGTTGAAGAAGACTCAGCTTCCCCGCGCGCGGTCTCGATGCTGACGCTCTCGCTCAAAAAGCCGCAAGAGGCTTAGCGTAGGAGGACCCTTATCGGCCGGGCGTAACAGCGTGCTCACTTCTTCCACCATTCATGAGATCTACGATTGGCGAGAATGGGATACGATCAAGTTGGTGGCTACAGAGTCATGCAGACGTAAAGGGTAATAGTCGCGCTATCAGCGCTTGGTACGATGCTTGTTCTGACGGTGAGACCGTTTAGATGAAGGTGTACCGTAGACAGAGGGTGTATAAAGGTAGGAGGTAGCGCTGTGGTCAGCGACAGCAATTCATACCTCTCACATTACTTCTTGACAAAGATCTTTTCTTTCAAACCGTATCCGATCAATATCACGAGTCCAGCCTAGACTCCGTACCAGTATAATCATCATGGCAACAGGAACTTCTTGTTCGACGGAGTGCATCAAGGGCTCAATTCACGCGGGAACACCCAAAGGCACCATCGAAACACTCCACGGCCTCTCTGTCTACGTAGTCGGAAACCGGACCACACCACGCGCAACAATCTGCATCTACTCCGACATCTTCGGCCTGGGTCTCCCCAATAACAAGATCATTGCTGATGCCTACGCCGCCTCGGGAGAGTATCTAGTTCTGCTCCCAGACTTCTTCAAAGGCGACCCCGTCGGACTCAAAGTCGCTGATGCGCTGCTTCCCGTCGACGCGGCGGCGCAGAGTACCTTTGCGAAGTATACGGGTATCCTGGCTAGTTTGCCGACTTTCCTGATGTGGCAGCGGAGGCATGGGAAGGCGGAGTCAGATAAGATTTGTCTCGACTTTATGCGGGAGCTGAGGCGAGCGACCCCGAGCGAGAGGAAGATCGGTATGGTTGGGTTCTGCTGGGGCGGAAAGTATGCTGCTCGTACGGGGTTGGAGAGCAACATGATCGAGATTGATGGGGTAAAGAAGCCGCTTGTCGATGCGATCGTGGCGCTACACCCAAGCCACTTAGCTGTTCCCGAGGACGTCGAGGGTCTCGTTGTCCCTACGAGCTTTGCGTGGGGCGTGGAGGATATCGCTGTGAGTTTTGAGACGAAGGGCAAAGTGGAGGAATGTCATGCGAAGGCACAGAAGGCGCGAAAAGAGTTCCCTGAGATCGAACACAAGGCGTATACGCCTGGCAGGCATGGCTTCGCGGTCAGAGGCAACCCAGACGATCCGCAGGAGAGGAAGGCGCTGGAGGACTCGGAGAAGCAGGTACTTGCGTGGTTCGAGAAATGGCTCTGAAAAGTGCTCTGTAATTCGGTAGCCGTATATTGGCATAGGTATCATCTCCGCGTATTCAAGAACTCATTATATCCACCCTAGCGCCGTTCGCCTATCAAGAGACCTTTACTGGGCCTCTCAATTCCGCCTGTATTTCTGGGGAATGTTCTTCTCTACAACGCCTCTGAGCTCGAGCCTCTCCCACTCCTCTTGTGCCGCCTCTTTCTCCTCATGCATCTTGAAATGCGCAATATCCTCTGGGTGGTTCAAATCTTCCTCCTTCACGTCGTCACCACTGTGGTATTTCTCCCAATGATGGATCTCGTACTCGTACTCGTCGTCACCGTGGTGCCCTGGGCCCATGCCAAAGTCCGGGAGCTTGACATTCTCCGAATCCTTTTGCAGGAACTCAGCCAAGGTGATGGAACCGTCCTTGTTGATATCGAACATGTCTAGAATAGTCTGGACGACCATTTGTTTCTTGGTTTCGGAGATGGAGGCGCTAGAGGGGTCTTCGAGACCGTAGGTTTTGCGGATGTCGACGGTAGTCCATAGACCAGTACTATCGTAGTCGTGCATGTTAAAGAAGGTGGTTGCGTCGTAGCCCGCGATGTGATGCTCCTCTGCGACAGTGTCAGTGAATGGCCCTTCCTCTTTGTTTCATGTTGTGGGGATCTGGGGAAGTTCGTACCAGCCATGTGTCGCGTCGCCCAGTCGGCATCTGCTGGGACTTCGACTTGCGCATGTTCAGCGCCGCCGTGCGCCGAGGCATTGAGGGCGCATGAAAGCAGCAGAAGCGCGCCGAGTGGTAATTTAAACATGCGATCCATAGTTCTTGAAATTATAAGGCGCGAGGGGGTGTAAAGCTGAGTTGAGTCGTAGGCCAAATGTTGACGGCGGCCAGGGGCTCGGTCCCCATGAGGCCAACCGCCGACACTATGTCATAGGGGCCTCGAACTTAAGGTTTCCACGTGCAGCTCTCTTTCACCGCATCGCCAACACCACAAGCTCACCATGAACGTCCTAGTCCTCCTGAGCCTGTTGCTCTTCATCCCATTTCTCTTCTTCCTCGCGTTCCTAGCCGCATCGTCTTGCATGGGCGACAGGTTTCGCGCACGATTCGCTGGCGTCACATTCAATCCTCGAAACGCATCGTTCGGTCGCAACTACACACGAGGATTTGGATCAGGGGCTGGCACCGGCGGCTGGGAACAAATTGAGATGGAAGACATGATGGGGGAAGATAGCGACTCGGAATGAGGAACTTGGCACGCGCGACGAGAAGTATGGCTTGACTGCCCATCTCGGTGCTGTACAGGGTATCTTCATCTACACGCTACCGCCGACCGGAGCCTTCTAGAACTCCAGATCCTGCTTCTTCGGCATCTTGCTACCACCAGCCGCCTCTCGCACAGCCTCCTCCTGTGCCTCGGTATCGCCTTCCATCGGCGGCAGGCTGTACTTCGCGATCACAAATTTCCGCCTACTCAGCGTAAACGCCATGTCCTCGCCCAAGTCTCCTGCACCACCACCGCCGCCCTTCTCATGAAACACTGGTAGCTTGTGCACGGCGAACATACCCTGCGGTCGCTCTTCCTCCTTCGTCGTACCTGCCGATTGTGCGAGTGCTTGCGCACGCGAGTATGGGAATGGAGACAGCTCAACGACACCGTCAGAGAGGATCTCCATCCAGCGAACAAGGCCTGAGGATCTCGGATATAGGGTCAAAGGAATTGTGATAATGGCGGTCAGGCGCGTTTGATACTGTCGGAGTAGCGCGCGTAGAGCGTGGAGGAATTGGAGTACGGAGGTCGGGTGGGCCGCTGACGGAGAGTACAATGCCGGCGAGAGGAGAGACGGTATCACGATGCGATGGATCGTATGTGGTGGTGTCGACTCGAGCTGCTGCCGTATGTTTTGCAGTATCGGAGGGAAGGGCGAGGAAGTGCCTGTCGGTGGAGGTATGGGCACATAGTTGATCGCTGTTCCTACAGGGAGCGTGAGACGTTTGGCGAGATCGAAGGTATGGCAGAAGACCATCTGTTCTTCTGTCGCACTATCGCCTTGACCTGCCGTCCTCTGCACATTGGGAGAGCCTGTTGAGAGCCTCGTCAAAACTGCTCGATAGATAGTCTTGCATTCGCAGAGTATATGTACACAACGCACCTCTAGCACTCTCAAACTGCCCCAGACCTTCATATCTCCACGCGATCTTCATCTTCTCCGCTCGCTCCTTCCCTTCCTTTCTCTTGTCCGACTTGTCTTCTGATATACCTGGCAATTCCCTGCCCCACACTTCGCCCATGCCTACTACATGCACTTTATGGCCCTGCACCACTCCCTCAGCTGCGTAGAACCGTAGTAAGGCACCGGCATAGTCTGTCGTCCCGCTCTCGCCTATGAGTATCGAATTTCCCAGCGCCAGGCCAGCGTGTCCTGCTAAGATCCCATCGAGCGAAGGTGTGCCGGTCGACGTGGTGGGGCGGCCATCGATGGGTGAGGGGCGGACGCCGGGGGGTGTTGGTACAGGTTGTACTATCAAAGGGGAATATGGCGCGTTTGACGCGTCTTCGCCTGTCGGTGCGCGAGATAGCGCGATGTTGCGCTTGCGAAATGCCATTTGCGAGTGTCTTGGGCTGTAAGTCGCGACCTGTCGAAAATGTTAGAGGGGCTATCGATAAGCGCGAGTTAGCGTCAGACGTCATACACCCAACAGTCGCGACTGCTCGATCGATACGAAACGGGAATCGAAATCAATGTTTCTGCTATTCTCAGTTCGCGTACTAGAAGAGTCCGAACTGCAACTATCTATCTGCTTCTCGCTACCGGGCGATGACTCGTCTTGATTCTTTTGCCCCGATACAGCATCTCGCCTCCCTGATGTCTGAGTTTCACGCTCATACCGGTCGCATCAAGGCTCAGTCGCTCCAAAGACCCAAACATACTCCAAAGAAGACCGCAATCTTCAGCTCAGCGCAGTGAAACATCTGGACCCCGCAATGCATCCCAGCAATCCTACCGTATCTCAGCATTGCGGCCGCTTCAAGATAATCTCAGATGCTCGCGCTGTCCTCATTCTGGGCAAAGCTCTCCATACTCTGCCTTGAATGCTTCCATAATTGATTCCTTCTCTTCTTCCGGACATTCTGCAACCTGTATCTCGAGCAACTCTTTCTGGTTTGTGTAGAAAGCTTGCGCTTTCTCCCACCGGGATTCTTTGCGAGCACATTCTTCCTTGAGCTTGTCCTCCGCCTCTAACCGTCTGTTCTGTTCTGCTCGCACCCTCTGTTTCCATACGCGGGCGTCTCTAACGCTGCTGTTAGCAAGTGTCTTCAGCTGGTTTCTCACTTCCTCGTTCTCGGTTCGACTGTTATCCAGCAGCTTTTGCATCTGTTTGTGTCGCTCATGCAGAGCTGCCATAGCTCCATCGGTTGCTTTACGCGCTGCCTGTGCCTCAGAGAGCTCATTTTCAAGTACTTGGATCCTTGCTATGTGTGCCTCTTTCTGAGCTGATGTGGCGGCCATGTCTTCATCAATCTTTCTTCGCGCATCCTTCTGGTCTTTGAAGAGCTTCTTCATCTGGATCTACAGTCAACGTTATTCGCCTCAATGTCTATGGATTATTGCGCTTACTCTGTCTGTATGATGTGCTTCTTGTTTTGTTGTACCTATTCTGCGTAAGCCACGCCTCCTGATGAAGCAATCAAACGGGATCAACCATCGCTTACCAGTTCCTTCAATCTCTTCAGGGACACGATTCTTGACCGTGCGCATCAGATCCTCCGTGAGTGAGGTACCTCGGCCTTGGGTACCGATTCTAGCCGGTAACATCGCTGATGCGTGCGGTGCAGAGGGAAGCATAGTCTGAAAAGAGCGCATCCGCGTCTCTACATCCGCGCTAAATTTTGTGGTAGGAATGTTATTCAGCGGCGCCCCGTTCGCGACCGACCTGACCGCCCATTCAAAATTATCCATAGCCCACGGATACTTGAAGGGCGTTATCGCGCCCTTCAGCAAAAAGTAGTACTCGATCAAAGTTTTCAGCTCGAAGCCGTAATCGGGTCCTACCATATCAAATGAATATCCACTTTGTCGATATGCGGCCTTGAATGGATGGCAGAGGTCCTCGATGTGTGGTAGCATCACCGATAGGATCCGTTGTCCTCCAGATAGCATGTATACTCCCCCAGGCGACTGGTCAAGCTCTTTGTGGGCCCATGTTGACTGGATATCCTTATATCCGCCGATACGAAGCTTTACCAGGGCGATCTTCATGTACCACTGTGTCGTGGTTCGAGTTTGTGAGGCTGGTACCCAGACCAAGTCTTCGACCAAAGGCAATTTTGCGAACTCGTCTGGAAAGTACTTATTGGCGTAGTCTTGGATGTTCTGCAAAGTAACTTTGTCATTGGAAGCCATCTGCTCAAACGTAAGCAGCTGCGGAGAGTTTGGTGCATGCGCCTGATATACCTCGATGATGCACCCGTGATTGATGAGTCTTGCTGTAAACGAGCTCGTCAGGTCTTTCAGAAATGATGATTGTCGCAAGGTATACCACTCGAGCCTTGGGCAGTGGCATGTGTTCAAGTAGGTAGCGGAAAGGGAAGTAAATAATGAGCAAAGGAAAGTGGAACACCAGGAAAGAACTCACCAGCAGGCGGATATGGAAGCAGGATAGTTAATAAACTTAGCTTAACCTCACCTGGGCATTCTTGTCTCTGACCGCATGAGTTTACCAACGTCACCAGTGAGAGAACACTTCCTGAGCCAGTATTACCTCGCACCACCCTCTAAATCATTATCCTACTAGCTTAAAAGTGTATTAGGACGAGATACCAAAACCCCTAGTCGAATCATACAAAAGGACTGCATCATCAAGCTGACTTGTAATGGTATCCATCAGTAGCAGAACCTTGTGATATTCAGTATAGCATGTGCGCCTCCATATCGCAGTACCTATGATACGTCTTTAAAGTGTTGGTATCCCGACCGATGGGAAGCGCAGTTGGAATGAGCCGTTCAACGCGTAGCCTCTGAGGCTGTGATGTACCTAGGTGGACTGTGATGATGTCTATCATACCTAAACAGCGTCCGCGTCCGTCCCACACTACATTGGTTGCGGCTCTCGAGCCGCCGAAAGCTGATTAGTAGCGACAGTCACTGGTAGGTAATAGACGTGAATTGACAACTGCAGCATGGGCTTATTGTACCCATGGGAAACTAAATTTGCTAGCTGGCACTGCTGGGCGTTCTTTCTTTGCATATGACCTGGGCAGTACAAGCTCTCTACAAGCTCTGGGAAAAGCGCTCGCCTATACGAGCGCTTTGGTGTCATACGTTATGCATGGATGACTCGGAGTGCGACGCAGGGTATGAGTGTGCTCGTCTTCGTGTTTTCCTTCAAGGTTCCCCGATCATCGTCTGCCACTAAAGTCCCGACACGGCTAGCGTCTACTGCTAGCGCCATCTCCAAGAAGGCCGGACAGCACTCGATGCTTTCAGCATCTTCAACACAACTCTACCTTTTTCATCTAACTCTACTTTCAATACAAGGTCATGGCGGAGGATGAAGAGACTGAGTCTGCACTGATTCCAAGTCTCTACAAACCACCCGCTTTGCTACCGATCGCGCAACTCAAAGATCAACTCCTCTACACAATAGACACATACCCCGTGACCATTGTTGTTGGTGAAACAGGAAGTGGTAAGCTTCCCGATTCTCTCCAGAAAGGCCAAAGCTGACAAGTAGCCTCAGGAAAGACAACACAAATACCGAAATTTCTGCTAGAAGCCGGCTGGTGCAATGGCGGCAAGCAAATAGCCATCACCCAGCCCCGACGGATAGCGTGTACTAGCGTAGCAGCAAGAGTCGCAGAAGAGCTGGGTACGCCACTTGGTCAGCAAGTCGGGTACAGTATCAGATTCGAAGATGTCACGTCCGCGGCTACGCAGGTGAAGTTTGTCACAGATGGCCTGTTACTGCGCGAGATGCTCGTCGATCCGCTCCTTTCACGCTATTCAGTCATTATGGTCGACGAAGCACATGAAAGAAGTTTGTCTTCGGACATACTATTGAGCCTACTGAAGAAGGTGCTGAGGAAGCGAGAAGACCTGCGCGTCGTTGTGAGCAGCGCTACGCTGGAAGCGGAACGTTTTCTTGACTTCTTCAACCCCGACGATGGCGAGAAGGTTCATGGCAAAAGCAAGGAAGAATTTGGATACATCATTGGTATCGAAGGGCGCACATATCCGGTTGAGATCCAGTACCTACAGGAACCAACGAACGACTACGTGGAAGCAGCAATCGACACGGTCATGAAGATCCACGAGCACGAGAGCGAAGGCGACATTCTCGTGTTCTTAACAGGACGTGAAGAAATAGACGATGCAATCGACAAGCTGGGTGACCGTATTGCCGACATGTCTTCATCCAAGCAAAGGCTCATGCCCTTGCCCCTCTACGCTGGCTTGCCAACAGAAGACCAAAATCTCATCTTCACAAAACCGCCACAAGACACGCGACGCGTCGTTTTTAGTACCAACATCTCAGAGGCATCTTTGACTATTGACGGCATCGTCTTGGTGGTGGACTCAGGTTATGTCAAACTTCGCGCCTACAACGCCAATTTAGGCATCGAAAACCTCGCTGTCGTGCCCGTGTCGAAAGCTAGTGCCACACAGAGAGCGGGTCGTGCTGGCCGGACGAGGCCGGGCAAATGCTTCAGACTGTATCCTGAAAGCGTTTACGAAAGCTTGGAGGAAGCCACGTTCCCAGAACTCGCCCGCTCGAATCTCGCACCTGTGATCCTGCAGCTTCTCAACTTGGGAATCACAAATGTGGTGCGGTTCGATTACCTCTCGCCGCCGCCATCAGCACTAGTAACGCGCGCTCTGGATTTACTCTACTCTCTCGGCGCGTTGGACGCTCATGCTCGTCTCACGAAGCCCCTCGGCACGCGTATGGCGGAGCTTCCGCTCGAACCGATGCTAGCTCGCGCATTATTGAAGGCCGCTGAACCGGAGTTTGGCTGCTTGAGCGAAATGCTCACAATAGCCGCAATGATGACTCTGCAAGGCAATGCTTTCGTTTCTCATGACGGTGGAAAGAAGCAGCTTGATGCGGCGAGGAGGAAATTCGCAGTAGCAGAGGGCGACCACCTTACACTGTACAATGTATACGAAGCTTTCGTGAAAGCTGGAATGGGTAACACAGCATGGTGCCACTCCAACAGTCTGAACCACAAGTCGCTCGTCAAGGCAGTCAGCGTCCGGAAACAACTTGCTGCTTACTTGGATCGTTTCGGTGTCAAAGAGAATGTCCTCGCGTCATCGGGCGTGCTGAGGGTCGGCGGTACACCACTCGCCGAGCGCGTCCGTCGCTGTCTAACGACTGGTTTTTTCGCGCATGCTGCGAGGATGAAAGCAGATGGGACTTTCACCACTGTCGATGGAAAGACGACGTTATGGCCTCATCCGACGTCTGTGTTCTTCACGCGGAAGGCGGATTGGGTCATATACACCGAGATTCAGTCTACAAGAGACAAGATCTACATTAGGGATATGAGTACAGTGGAGATGGACTGGTTGACGGAGTATGCACCGGGGTTCTACAAGATCAAGAATGGCGGTCGATGAGACGAGAAGAAAAGTAGCTTGCGGGTATCTATCAAAACTAAAGGCATAATTACATAACGACATAACGACAGGACTGCTGCTTGCCCGCAATTACTTGCATGCGTCGACGAACAGCTCTCGCATGCCCTTCAGGAAGCTTGCCAAGTCGCGCGTTTCATTCAGCCTGTCCACAACCGTCTCGACCTCTTCGCGCTCGACCTTGGGCCGCATCTCTAGCACCCTGTAGTCGCGTTCGCTAGTATCCAGCTCAAACCACGCCTCACGGTCCCACTCCCTCTCATCAACGTTGGTATAAACGAACTTCAGCCTGTCGTCCTTCCCCAGCCCCTCAATCCTCAAGCCCAGATAGTTCTCCCAGAAGTCGAGTTCTGGCTCGTTGTACCGACTTTGCCCATCGAGGTAACGGCGGTGTTTGAGTTGTGCTTCGCGGCGTGCGGAGATGGTCTTTTGCACTTCGGCGATCTGTGCGCGCAAGCTGTCGCGGTGGGCTAGGCGCTCGTCGCGCTGGAGGGTGAGGGCGGAGATGGCTTCTTGCATCTCGGAGGTTTCTTGGGATTCTTTGGAAATTGTCTGGCTGTGCTGGGCTGTCTTGAGTTCGAGGATTTCGATGTCGCGCTTCTTCATGCGTTGGTCCTCTGTCGCAATAGTTAGTATGCGATCAAACAAGATGCAGGTGTGTCGTGTCTTATCGTACCATGGAGTTCTGCGACATTCATGCGGAACTGGTTGCGCTCTTCCAGTACTCGTCTGCGGCCATTCTCGATGAAAGCATCAAATCGTGTAGTGAACTGGTTCATGCGACTGCGCAGATCGTCGAATCCGAAGTTGATGCTGGGTAGTTGGTCGGCCATGGACGGCGCATCGTGCGAGGAGGCGCGCATCGTGGTGCTCATGGAGGGCTCGAAGGTCGTCATAATTGCGGCCTGATTAGACGTTTCTCGTAGGATATGCGAATATGTGGTGGGGTGCGATGCGATGTTGGGTGGTGAGGGTGGATGAGATGGTTGCTCCGTAAACAAACATGCGCGCTAACGCGGCAGGAACGATAGCGGGGCGCATGCACGTGCCGACGCGACTTTTGGCGCTAGTGGAACTTTTTGGCGAGGTTCCAAGGTTACTTTCATCATCGCGTCCGGCGCATGCTCAACCTTGACAGACACAATTTTCGCTCTCGCATACGGTCGTTCGTTTTCTGCGTACAAAGAATGAGGCTATACTCCAGCGTCGTTACGGATCGAGAACCTTTACGACAGCCCAATGGCTGATAGATCGCTCAAAGATCTGAACTACGGCCATCCCGGTGCAGCGACTTACGACTTGGAGAACAGAGAGTGGACGTTTGCCAGACCTTATTCCGCGCGCCCGTTCAAGCGCATACGAACTTCGAAGGACGCGACTCCTGCGAGCAGTCATGCGACACCGGCATTTTCTCTCCCTGCAGAAATTCTAGCGAGTAGGACCAGCATACAGAAAGAGATCAGCAACAGCATCGAAGGATACCCTCAGCTCTCTGCAGCAGCCGAAGTCCTCCCCGATCTAGCTGTAATATCTGCTGCCATATCATCCACGGCTTCGACCTACGATCCGCTCGTCGGCGACCTACTCTCCTTCGGTTCGATTACACCCAAGGGTAGACACGAGGCATGGCAAATAGCTGCATTGCCGACGGGAGAATCTGGCAGCATACTGCAATTGTCAATCCTAGACAACGAAAGACACGGTTGGACAGCAGACCCGAAGTCATGGGTAGAAGGGCGGACCTTGAAAGACACGGAGAGTGGCTTCTGGAATGAGGAAGCGGCACCGATCCAGCAAGTTCACTTTTCGCATTCGGATGACAGCAGACCTTTTCTGGCTGTGCGACTGCCTACCCGTACTGTCCTCTTCCACCCAGACTACCACCGCCGACCACGCGCTTCCGCTGTCTCACCGTTCTACCGCTTACCCGCCTCCTCGATCGAACTCCACCCTATACTCAGCATAATTCAAAACGATACTGGTGGCTTTGCTCATGCCGACGTCACATTCAATCCAGACTTCCAGTTGCAGTTTGCACTCGTCGACCTGAATCAGTCATGGAGTGTATGGGACATCGAGCATCGGCCCATACTTGGCACGTATTCGGCTTCATGCCTGCTTCGTGGAAAGATCGATGAACTAGAAGAGGACGGGGACACAACTTGCGAAGACGGTTGGGCGAGGATTCTCTGGGTGGCTGATACAACGACGTTGCTGGTATGCAACAGGCGCCATTTGAGCATCGTCAGCATCAAGGGCCGGACAACGTCATACCTTCCCTGCCCAGAACTTTTCAGTGAGCGATCGGCAGACTGGGTCTTGGATGTCAAGCAACACCCAAGAGATAGAAGTCGGGTTTTCGTCTTGACCTCTACTCGTTTATTCCTCCTTTCGGTCACTGCACCAAGTGAGCTGCTTCCGAGGGCTGGTGAAGCTGGAGCTAAAGTCCTCACATCCTGGCGGCACTACCGGGGCGTGGAGGATTTCACACTTCACATAGGCGTGCAGACGCTGTCGGACGATGGTAAGTGTCAGATCAATCGCGCGACAGAAATCACACTGACAGCCTGGCAGAAACCTGTGTTGTGCTCCACTCTCGAGTCAACAATTTGGTCCAAATACAAAGCTTCCGCAGCAATACCTCCGATTCTTCCGGCCTCGTTACCAGTTCAGATCCGACCCTGCTAGACCTACCCATCGGTGGATCCGCGCACATAACCAACTTGTACATCGAGCCCATGCAATGGGAATACTCAAAGAAAGATGTCGTCTTCCTCCAACTGTTTGTCACGCTCTCCGACTTAAGTACGCGCGAGCTAGTTGTCTGGAGTCGGAGCACCTCGACAGGACATACCACCGAGAATGACTATGCCGTTGTAGACTTCACGCTAAGCACGATCAGACGCCCTAGAAACCTCATCTTTAACTCGAAACCACGCAACAAAGACGACGATTTCATAGTGCCTAATGGATTGGTCGACAGAGGGTTACCAAGCTCCAAGATTGGCAGGCAGCAGCCAGAATCGCGCAGATCCTCGGAGGGTGCTGCCGTGCCGGAAGCTCGGGATAATGCTTCTCTGGGCGAGATTCTATCTCAGTCAAAGAGCGCGGCGGAGCAGGTCTCGGGTACCATCGATGCGGTGGCTGTCATGGATCAGGTGAACGAAATGCTGGCGACTGGTGCAGACTTGCCACCTTTACCATTGGGTACTCTGTAAGTGAACTGGGTCTTGTTTGCATTCTGAACTAACAATTGCAGGATGGAGTTTACGCACGCACAGTTCCATGCTGCAGACATTGACGAAGCTTCGTCCAACTTCCAAGAGCTGTTCTCTTCGCCAAATGGTCAAGATACTGTGGATGTTCAGCGTATCGCAGCTATGCGCGTACTTGGCTTGACCGACGATAGCGACCTCACCATTTCCGACGCATACGATAGTATACTCCAGACGTGGGTTGCGCCTATGCCACCCGATATGCCAATTCGCGTTCGGCAACGCCAAGAACTTCTGGCTCGGCGAATTGCTACGGAGTTGATGTTCTCAAGCACATGTATACGTGACGATCGGATCCAAGTGCCCGCTGTTAGCATACAGCGTGGGCAGAGTCAGGACAGTGCCGTAGCCTTACCTATCTTGCCTGCAAGACCAAAGGAGGCTACCTCCAACTTCACCTCAAGATATTCTGCATCTCAGCCGTTACCGACACCGCCATACTCATCTATACCACCTTCGTCTTTGCCTCCATCCTCTGTGTATGGATCGTCCCCGCCCGAGATACCTTCCATGGAGCCAGCTCCATCAGACCCCCTTAGTCGGCTTAGCAAGTATCTTCAGACTTCCAAAGACCCGGTCATCATTCCGCCAACCGTGTCCCAAAGTCTCGCGCATTGGGAACTAGGAAAGGATCCGCATGTGTACAATTGGGTCAGTGTGGAGCGTACTCTTCGGGCCGGAGAACTAGATGAGGAGAGCCAGCAACAACGCGAGAAAGAACGCAAAAAGAAGGAACGTAGGGAAAAGCGACAACAACGCGAGAACGAGCTCATGAGGGCTAAGACTGCTAGTCAACTTAACGCATACCCGAGAAGCTCTCCAGGGCCAATGCTGGGTGGTATGGGTAGCAGCAGTCAGGTACCGAGTCAGAGCCAAAGTCAAAGCCAGGTACCATTCCAGACTGGTGGCTTCACGATGCCACAAAGTCAAGTAGAGCGGGGCAAATTTGGAGGAAAGCTAGACAAGAAGAAGAAAAAGAAGGGAAGGATCAGCGGATTTTGAGTTTCGGGTTGGCGCATCGTTCCGTACATGTGACTCCGGACTGCAAATGCTACATATGCACGGAGCGGATTCCTCTCATTCGATGCCGTCACCGGTGCGGAAAGAAGGAAGCTCCTCCCCTCAAAGTGGGGTCAGAGGGGTAGCTTCCGCATTCCAACTACATAGCTTAGCTCTACCCCAAACCCATCGTACATACCAAGGATCGCATCTAATACAAGCAATTAATTCCACAATAACATCACCAAAGTCCTTGTGCAACATCAAAAAATGTCAGGCTTCCCATCTCTCCAGCCCGCGTTCACCGTCCGTGTCGACATCGATGCGCCGATGCAAGTCGGAGGCCAGCATGGCGCGCAGTTGGTCATTGTTCCGATGGTATCCGGTACAGTAAAAAGTGAACCGGGCTTCGAGCCAAAGCTGGATGGAGAGCTACACGGTACCGGCTACGACTACATCCACAACGATGCCGATGGCGGAAACATGCGCTTGGATGTTAGGAGTCAAGTCAAGTGAGTGCAAAGATGCGCATGCCCGTTCGAGAGGATATCAAAGACTCATGGGTATACAGAAACCATGACGGAACGATTCTGGCAATGTACTATAAGGGTACAGTGAAGCTCACGCCAGGCGTCGGCAAGGTGCTATCTGGTGCTTCGGATGCTAAGACTACGGACTACGGCGATTCATTTGTCAACTTTACTTTCGAGACGGGCAACGAGAATTACAAGGAGCTTCAGAATGGGACGTATGTCGCTGCCGGCCATTTCGTCACAGGCGAGGGAAAGCCAGGTGTCGTGGTGGAGTACAAGGTTAGCAAGGTTGTGTATAAGGCGTAAGTCAACACACGTGATGGGGGTGAGTGAGGCTGTATCGGGTTGTTATTTGAAGATGCTGATGCCTAGTTTAGGACGAAGACGGGTACATCGCGACCTGTATATAATCCCAACTTATGATCAACGACCGTACCAATTCTACTTTCCCGTTGTGTCTGTTCTGATTATCGCGCTCTCATCTCCCTCGCATCCTCTGAAAGCTAGTATTGATGACCACTCTCTTTGCTGATTCGTCAATCTCACTATCTCAGCTCACCTTCACCGCGCGGATACTGAACGCCGCGTTTGCTAACAGTCTTGGCGCGTCTGACGCGACCTACAGACTCTTCGCTCTTCTGTCTTTCCATTTAAACTCTGTCCGCATTTGACCGCCTGGGAGCATTCGGGTGTTATACGCGACAAACTACGAAGCGCGAATTGCTGCCGTCCACCTGCGATTACATGAGTCCACTATCGTAACGCGCCTACCGTCAAATCCCGACCCAACATCGAGACGACTCCGCTACAGGCACATCCATAAGCGATATGCAGCAAAATTCGCCGGCGAGAATGCTACTAAAGAAGAGGTACATTCTTGGCGACTTCAACAAGTACGCGACAGGCAGGCTCGCGACCCACTTTGCCGCCATCTCGGACATGGCACTCTACGAGTTCTCCGAAAAGCTATATCTTGACGAGAAGAACAACGCACGTCGATGCCACATGCTCCTTGTTGGTCACTACTCACGGAAATCCGGCGGGCCGCCAGTATGGGCACACGCTACGGGTGAAAGGATTTGCTACTACTCCGGATCAGGAACCCAAGTGACTCCGTTGGTCCAAGACATACACTCGTCCAAAGTCTACTACGATCCTCCCTTCAGCTACATCGGTGGGTCGCAGGATTACGGTAGCTTGAAGCCTGGAATGAATCCGGAACGCAAGCTTGAGCGTGCGGTAGTTGATTCCGCTATCAACTTCATCTTCTTGCTGAGCGGAAGACTGGAGCAGGTCTCTGATCTGATGAATCCGGACATACTTAGCCATTTCAGACTTGCCTGTACGAATTTGGTCCGACATCGAAAACCTTGTGTGGGAGACGCTTCATACAAGCAGGGTTCGGACACGGCAGTCTTTGGTGCACCCGCGAGTGGGCAGCTACATTCTCATGAGCCCATTGCGCCCGCTGAATCAAACCTCTCGCTTGCGCGCCTTAGCATGGATACGGCCTCGCCCAGTCCAGGAAAACGTCAGTTTGTAGACCTTAGCGACGATCTGACCGATGGGCTACCAACTAGTAAGTACATCATCCGCGCTTCTCTGGAACTTGGCTAATCTCGCAACATAGCTTCAAATAAACGTACACGCCTGTTTGTAAGTCATGTTCTACTCCTGGAGGTCATCATGATACATCGTTGGCTGACATACAACAACAGGAGCATATTAGCAACTTTGAAACCGAGATGAACGCCAAACACGAGTCGGAAATACGGGAACTCAGAGCTCAGCTTGAACAACAACAAGCAAAGACGGGCGATGCAAAGGAAAAGCTCATGCGAGAAAAGACCAAGCGACGCCAGGCGCAGGTCGAACGTGAGACTTGGAGAGAGAAGTACCTCAAGCAGCAAGCTCTAGCTGAGTCAGCCACCAAAAGTGTCAAACAAGAGGAGGGAAGTGAAGATTGGAAGGCCATGTTGTTCGAACAAGAGAGGAAAACAGAGCACTACAAGCTGAAGTACATTGCCCTGAAAGAAGAGAAGAAAGCTTGGCAGGCACAAACCATAGTATCAACCGAAGGTACTACAGAACGCGAGGTCCAAGATACAATTGTAGCAAACGACCACCCACAAGAAGACCAGGTTGAGCAGCCGAGCGCACACTGCGAGGAACACAGAGCTCCCACAAGTATTGGATTTGTCAGGCGAACAAACACGATAAATTCCAGGGAACTGTCCAGGAACCTAGCCAAGTATTGGCAGTGTTCTGGAATCTCCGCGCAGGGGCATTTCGGCGGCCGAATTATGTCTGAACATCAGCGAAGAAGCGCAATAATGGGTCGACTGGGCTCGGTTACAGACACGTTACTTCTTCAGGAGCAGATAAGGGGTGTTGATGTAGAGCGAGAAGACGTGAAAAGGCGGGCGTACATTCAAGCAGTTGAGCAGACCAGGTACTTGATGGAAACGCAGGGGCTTAAGCCCAGGGCCAAAAAGTCGAGGAACGTGATAGAGCAGGGGACTATATAGTACGAGTCTAGCTACACGGTTTGCAGACTACAATGTGTTTTTATATTATACACTACTACAAATTAGCACGTCCGCCAACAACAATACGTTCATGGTAAGGCAACGTTGGCCTTGATAAGTGATATACAACTACATCTTAGTGTCGCCTTACCATGATCTCATATCATCAATGCCCTTCCCTACTACATGTATCTTTGGAGTTGTTCGATGTGTAAGCGATAGTTGTGTGTTACGCATCCAGGTGAATCCAAAGTGCGAGACCCGCTTCCCTACAGCATACGTCGTCCACAGAGTCATCCTTCCTCGCAACTTCCGGTTTCCCGAATCAGCCAATCGTCCAATCGTCCAAGTATCCATAAGATTCAAAGCTTGGGTGTTCTTAGTATACAGGCTGTAAGTGAATGCGCCATTCAACAATCGAGCCGCTGGAAGAGGCGCAGAAGTACGACATGGATGAGTTCCAGAAGTCAGTCGCTGGAGTCGAGAAAAGATTTGACAAAATCTAAAATTACACGACAGCAACATAGTAGATAGGTCACGGAAGATGGTTGTGAGTTCAAAGCATTCTCTTTCCATTAGATATCAAGTGCATTAGTTTACTGGTGAGTTTGCGAAACCGTTCACTGACCCATGCAAACTCGACAGGTCCCCATGATCGGACTTTTCATATGTAGGTCGTAGGGACGCGCCTCAATTATCGGCGTGAAAGGACACGTCAGAGCGCATTCAGTCTTGAGGAACCTGTACCACTACCACCCGGACTGCGCCGATGAGCTGGAGCCAATGGAGTGCAAAGTATTCAATATGCGTTTAGGAGACAGATATATAGCATCGGAAAAGCTGTCGATATGAGAAGGCGGCATCTGTCTGACATGTTCTGGTTGCAGAAGTGTTGCAGACTATCATGCGTTGATAGAACATACCATACAGGATAAGAGCACGTTTGCCAACGACAATGTAATTCTGCACAGCCAATGTCATTCCCAGTCGAAGATATACGCTTCCAACGCAGTTTTGGCTTAGCCTGAGTGCGTGTCATATATTCAATTACCTGCTACACACATTGGTCATAGATCACGCATTCATTGCAGAGTCATGCTTCGCTACCGGGGTTGAGTATAGAGACGACTACTTCACGCGAGGAGCCCTTGTAAGCTACCGGTATCGCCTTACAAACCCACCAATATGCACGCCCAAAAGTCCCCGCGAGATGAGTCCAGGCTCGAGCGCGAAGTCCAGGAGACTACATGCGTCGTCCACAGACTCATCCTCGCCCTCAACGACCGGTTCCCCAACCCAGCCAATCACCCGAATCCCCCTTAGCTGTCAAGCTCGGGTACCCACCCGCTCCTCCCCTTCTCCCCTTCCTTTTGCGCGGCACAACTTAGCGCACCTCCAAACACACACCCTCTCCACTTCTCGGCGCCTGCGGTGTGGCAGCACCCGTCTCCGCGATACTGTGATCACTTGTTGAACCATCGGCACTATTGGTAGCGACAACCGACACCGACTCAGCAGCACGAGTCAGCCCTTTGCACGATAAGGATGCGTGAGTCGAGAAAGCATTTGCTTATGGAAAGCCCGACGGGGTCGCGATAGATATTGGCTTTTGCCGCGTATCTGTCGTATGGATGCCTTATGCGATCAGTCGTAGTTGGTTATCTACCGAGTAGTGCATGTCTAACAAGGATCCCCACGTTACGGCACCCAGCACAGTACCAAACACGCTCAACCCGTTTTATGTACGCTCGCGCTCCCGGCCGCCGTGAACGTGGGGAGGAAGGAAGGGGCGACAGCAAGGCGGCCGTTGTCTTAGTCGTACGTGTTAGTGCGGGATGACATCTCCTGTGAGCTATTTTCCGAACAGTACCAACGGCGCTAGCTTCAAGGGGCCTGACTGTTGCAAGTGTGTGGACAGACGAGGAAAAAGCAAGTACTCGAGGTCCATCGAAACTTTACTGTTTGCGATGGCGGTTGCAGTAGTTGCGGGCCTGATGCGTTCCTAGGTCTGAGGCTGTGGATATTAATCGTCGCGATTCGATCTTCGGCGTGTTGGTGGTGTCGTGGGGATCTGAATGGCAGGTGCGGTCCAGGTGGTTGTCAGGTCTCGGCTTCTCTCCGCGAATGAGAGCGTGTTAGTGTCTTGGCGGGAGGGCGCTCTTGCTGTGGGCGCCTTCGATACATGCTTGCGTTTTGGAGGAACGGTATGATGCTGGTGCATGAGTGTACGCATGGAGAGATCAATGGATGTGATTGGTATCAATGTATTACACTATTAGTCTTGGGACTATGCTACAGTCGACGGGTAAGTCGATGCTAAGATGCCATTGGAGGCAGGTATCTGAGGACTATGCCGCTATGCAACCAGTCGTAGGCGTTGAAACGGCCTATGCGTCATGCAGTGTCGTTATACATAGATGCGAAACTAATGAACAAAAGAAAGACGAGCGGACGAAATATGTTGAGCCGCGACTGCGATGACGAAGTGGCCGTTGTAGTCGTGCCGAAGCGAGACGAGATAGAGAAGGATGCAGATAACCGAGTGTGACAGAGGCGCGTCGCGCAAAACTCCGTCTCATGAGATGGTGGCGCCTTCGATCGGCACCACCACACGCGAAACAAGTAAGTGACCCAATCCGATCACATTATGCCCTTGAGGCCACGGAAGCCACCGGTTTTGGAAGACGAAGGCTTCTTCTGTTCCTTCTCTTTGACCTTCTTTCCGATGTTCTGAGCGCCGCCTGTCTCATAGTCAGCCTCTGATGTTGCAGGACGTGATACCGATAACTTACCCCGACCGTATATCCGGACCTCCGATTTCGGGTCTACTTTGTCTTTTCTCTCCTTACTTGAGCTTCCATCGGTGTCGGCGGAAAAGCTACTCTGCCCGCTAGATTGAGGCTTTGGAGCCTGAAACTGATTGTGGAGAGACGCATCATATGCTGCGGAAAAGTTTGGTCCGTATCCGCCACCAAACCCAGGGTACGGCGATGGCGCTGTTTGAGATCGTTGCGGCTTTCCCTGTTGTAGTGATTCAAGTCGAGCAGGACGAGGTGGTGACGCGGCTGATCCCGGACTGTGGACGGAGTCCGGCGATCGGTATTCGTAATATTCTTGCTCCTCGCTTGGGGTGGCCTCGGTAGTAGACAGAGGTGTCAAATATCTCGAGCTGTAGTTGGTCGCCTGTCGGAGGCTGGAGTTGCGACTGACCCGTGAAGTGTCAAAATCGATACGACCAGATTTGTCCCGGGGGTAAAGCTGTCCTATCTCAGCCTCGCGCTCCCCTTCGAGCTCATGATACTTCATCTGCAGCTCGGTATATTGTTCTAGGAGACGGTAATGAGTCTTCTTGAGTTGCTGCATTTTGGCATTGCTCTCTGCAAGCGCAGAGTCGAGCATCTGCTGCACAGAAGACGGCAGTTGCCCTGGCTTACCAGTGCTTCTGTCAGAAGATTGTAGACGGGACTCAAGCTCCATAATCCGGCGCTCGTAAGCCTTGATCGACCGCTCGCGTTCTTGCTCGCGGCTGTTCAACCGCATGTTCGCGATTTCGAGATCGTTGCGCAAGTCGTTCCGCTCCTGGATGAGGGTGTGTAGCTCCTTCCTCTGGTCTTCGAATGCTATGATCTTATCTTGCGCACCCTCAAGCTCCCGCCTAATGTCAGCGTAGTCTTCAAGCTCGTATTCCAACGCTTTGGTTCGTTGTTGGGCTTTTAGTTGCTCTGCCTCAGCTCTCTCCACGATCTTCTTGAGCTGCTCGTAGTCTGATTGTGTCCTTTGGAGCTCATACCGCAGACCACCCTCATCGCTGTGCCAGGTCTTTTCACTTTCTTTGTAAGATCGCACCTTGTTGTTCAACTCGCTTTCCCACTTCTTGGACTGACTACGGCTCGTGAGCGTTTCCTTCTTGAGTTGGGCGTACAGCTCGTTTGCCTTGGCGAGTTTGGCCTTCAGTGTCTTGTTGGTGTTGATCAGATTCTGAGTCTCCGCCTCTACAGTCGCTTCTTTGATATGCTTCCGCTGTAGCTGTCCGATGTGAGCAAGATGCTGCAATTTGAGATACCGCTCAAAGTTGAGGTCATTCCGAAG